CACAGACCAGTGGCTAAGATGACGGCAGTGACTGGGGTATTGAGAAAGGTGACGGCATCTCGGCGGACGGCATCTGCACGCTGGCCTCCAGCTGCGGCGGCGACCAGCGCGGCTCGTGCGGCGGCGGCTTCGGCACCTGCTGTGTCGGTAGGTGCCGACTCGGTGCCCACATGCATGCATGGTATGCTGAAGTTCAGAACACGAAAATTTGTCTGGGGCGGGGTTTCAGTAGGATTCGGGGCGGAGCATAATCTATTGCCAGCACACTGAGCCCGTCATCCCAGCATTGCAATGGCGGTTCAACGGACCTATTTTGTCTCGGGGCCCATTGTACAATAAATGTCCTTTTGTCCTTTTGGCACGAAAGGACGTTTATTGTACAATGTAAATCCACGACTATTGGTTGCCACTGTAACTGGGCTGACGCTATCAAGACAACGGCTGAATGGTCCTCTTTGACGAGTCATATAGGAACACGAATTCTGGAAGGCGAACTCGCCACCGCGTGTCTGCCATATTATGGGTGTGGTCAGCACAGATGCAGCGATATCCCGAGGATGGGGTTTGGCAGCGACGAATTTACGTCTGCCGGACGATACACATTTTTTGCGAATTTGTTATGCGTTGCAGCGAAAGCGTTCGCAATTTGGGGCAATTGGTGTTGGCCTTTGTTTGTACGTTTTGGCTTGGTTTGGTTAGGAGTTGTTGGCTATTGTTATCATAACACTCGCAAATAGCATGGCCGGAAAACGCAATCTGTAGGTCTCATCGGGAATAGTAAATCAAGCGTACGAAATCGATGAATGATTGATTAGTTATGGTTTTGTCAGTTATGGCCAAAGTGCTTCGAAAACGCAAATGATTTCACTTTATGCATTGCCCATGGTGAGAACAAATGCGCACTTGTATTATTCACAGGCTTAACGGTTTTTGATTCAGGCCACATCGTCATCGGCTTCAAAAAGGTTGACATTTGTTTTCCTCCAGTCGATCACTAGGGGACGTATCGTGCTCGCTGCAGAAGTGTCCGTACGTCCGGGCCGGACGGCCTGGAGACCCATCAGCGAGTTGTGGTCGGTACATTCGCCTGTGTCGTGCAGTTTGTTTCACACAATTAGCTGCGATTTCACACAATTAGCTGCGAAGAAGGCAAATTAACTGCGACACTGCGCCGAAACCAAGTGCATCATTATATGGTGCATTTGGTCACATGGTGTTACATGGAGAACAGATATGATCAGCTGATGTGTGAGCATACATCACCTTTGCCCGCATATCAGCTCATCGCTGGTAGGTATTACTTTATTTGCTCGCCGGTGATGGCTTCGCATGATAGTTTACTCTACCCCAGCTAGATAACCATGCACACCGATTTACACTTTTCCCAATGTCCTTTACTCTGTAAAATCAGTCCTTTACTCTGTAAAATCAGTCCTTTACTCTGTGAAATGATGGTAATGTCACATCGCTGCAACGCTGGGTGGTCGAGATCTGCACCAGGTTTTGACCCAAGCTCTCATGGTGATGCGCAATAAGCAAAGCTGTACCTTCCCCATGTTCATTGAATGGTGAGGTAGAACCTTGGCGACACGCCAGGCCAGACATCCAGCGGTGCCGAGACAGTCAGGGCATCAGTACGGTCAAGAGAACGCACGCAGCATCTGGAGACACGTGCCGGAATTCCCAGCGGACTTCGGGGGGGGGGGGGGGCTGGACATCCTCCCAACTGGTATGTTATCTCCTCGGATGTCGAGAGTCTCCGAGGGTAACGGGGACGAGCTTGTTATTCCGAGGTCCGTTCTGTCGCTCGCTCCCGGAGCGGCAGATGTGAGCTAGAACGGGCGGACGCTCCGGAACTCCCGAGATAGACGTCATTAATCACATCGTCTTACATGGAGAACATGGTGTTACATGGAGATCAGACGTGAAGACCGCGACCCATCTCTTAATTTTTTAGAAAATTTCATACGACTGCCACTATATTTTGTGCTAATCCTTTTTTCTCACTCAGCGTTGATCTTCGCCTACTATCGCTCCCTCGTTTGAGTATTTCATGCCTGTACCCATCCGCTTCCCGTGCACGCACCCTCGTTTTGACCAGGCCCCGACAAGAAAAAAATGATCCTAAAGCCACCAGCTAATGGTGATGTTTTGCGAACCCTACTCTCAAGCATTCAGGAGACGTGGACATTGTTGTTGCAGTTGTGGCGCCAAGGGTTAGAAGCATAGATTGTGTTTTTGCCGTGATCTTCGGGGTCACGCCCCCACTGCGGCCTTCCCGACCTTCCACAGCCCATCAGTGTGTCATTTCGGTTTATTTGTGGGAAAACCGGAAGTGATGGTGACATGGCAGGGTTGTGCCGGAGGTAAGCCTCCGACGACTCCCAGCGATATGAAGGCTTAATGCTGTGTTATGTGTACTCACTGCGTAGCTCTGAGGGTGCTCAGGGCAGCACGCGAGGGAAACCAGCGCCGCACGTCTCGCAAGCATGCGAAACGACCCATCTCAAACTGCTGATAATCCCGGTTTAGGATCAAAATCGGCTGGGCGGCTTAGAAAGCGTCCTTTGCTCTGCAAATGCTGCTCAGTCGGCCCGTTGCCCTTAACGCAACTCCGGTGCCAACAATTTTCTTCACACCTTCTACTCGCATTACATCTAGCAAGCAGGAGTGTGCAGGGACAGCTGATGGCCTGGCGCTCGTCTGGGCCGCCGGACTGCCCTCATTGGGTCTCTTTGCGAAAGGCGTTTAGGCCTCTAGTTCGTACCAACGGCGTGATGCAGCACTCAGAGGAGATGTAAGTCATCTGTGGTTTATTTGTCCACCAACTGCCACAGCAAGACATTGAGGCGTGAACGTAACGCTCCATTACCTGCCGAGAGCTTTACACCAACAATGATCAACAGATTCACAACGCGCGCATCGCGCATCACAGTTCGGGAGCGGTCGCGCAGGTCACGGTCGCGAGAGCGCAGGACAACTCGCAGTAAGCCACGCTCCAGCGCAGCACTTGGCATCCAGTTGTGTCCGTCACACGTAAAGCAGATAACAGGCCACGAGCAGCCGAATGATACACTACAGTCTCGTATCACTCACTCGATGATGCACTACGGCATCGTCTGACGTAACGGTGGCACAATTTAGCTGACCAGTTTGATGGTTCTGAACTCCTTTTCAAGCATCTTCTGTGCCTGCTTCTGCAGCTCTGGCTTGAAGAACCTGAGCAGAACTTCGTTGTTGTTGTTGAGAAGCGACTGCAAGAAGCCTCCCAGCCCTCCCAGATTAGAAATCTTC